TATATATATACATATATATATATATATATATATACATATATATATATATATATACATATATATATATATATATATATGAGACCTGCATGAATTACTATATCTGGTTAATTTCAATATATTTTTCTCTTTTTTATGAGTTCTAACTCTACCTTAATCAAGTGCTTACCCACCCCTTATCATAATTCCTAGCTCCTAAATAGATTCAATTGAGTTAACATTCATTCCTTATTGAAATAGGACATTAATTGTTATGCAATTTTAATGATAACTCCTTAACCTCAAAATTCCATATTTCTAAATTTAAAAAAATTTCTATATTTAAATCAAACAAAATGATTTTAGGCACTCAATTACTCATATTCATTTAATGTCCTAATCTTAAATAAATTTCACATTTTTTAATGTAGATTCTTGCTTCTTAGTATTAATGGACCAAGCTGTATGAAATGAGCCAATGAATAAGAAAAATGTCAATAAGCTTAAGAATTACCAGTGGCAGCCTGATGATGATTCTTCCCTCAAGCTTGTTCCACATTCAACTGGCAACATATGAATAGTGCACAACAGAATAAACGACAACACATGCTATGAGTCATAACTCAAACTATAATAGGAAAAGAAAATCTGGAGACATGCTATCAAACTGCTTAAAATTATTATTAATATATATAATGGTGGGGGCGGGGTTTCTCTGCTCTGCTAGGGTTTTCTCTCTAATGGCGGCTCCCCAACAACCTTCCCAGAGGATCCTCTACTGGTTTGACACACTTTTAGTTGTTTTTGAAGCATTCTGGCTGCTTGTTTTGAAGTACTCCTTACCCTAGTGGTTAAGCTTCTTATCCCACTAAAAGAGTTTTTTGTTTACTGTTCCATTGCCTAGCTTCCTTTCTTCTTCTGTGTTTGGAGGCTTCTCTGATGTTTTAGTGTCTGTGGATGCACTTCTCCCTGTTTATTTTGATACTAATATCCAAAAGACTAATGCTACTTTTGCTGATATAGGACGAAGAGGTTTTGATTGTTTAAATGATACTGAAAATCGGGTTTCCCTCAGTCTTACCATGATGCTGCAGTTTTTAAGTTTGATTGTTCTTTTGTTAAACCTTTGAGGAAAAAAAGTGGTTAGCTAACGGCTTTCTACTCAGATAGTGAATTACATGCACTAGCTAAAGCCAGGAAGTTCTCATTGGTTGGGAAATTTCAGTTCAGCCACCCAAAGATCGATGTAATAAGGAAATTATTCGATGATTTAAAGCTAGCTGGTTCTTGGAAGGTAGGTTTGCTAGATGGAAGGCATGTCATCATTTCCCTTGCTAAGGAAGAAGACTATGCTACACTTTTTGCTAAACAAATATTATGTTTGGATGGGTTTTCAATGAAACTATTGAAGTGGACCACTGATTTTGATCCCTTCAAAGAACCTCCTACTGTACCTATATGGCTCAAACTTCCTGGATTGAAATTGCATTTCCTTAATCACCAAGTTCTCTTCACTATAAGAACTGCTATTGGCAGACCCATGAAGTTGGATGCTCCTACATTTAACCTAACTAGGCCATATGTTGCTAGAATTCTGGTGGAAAGAGATATTACTCAGCCTGATGTGGATGAGATTTGGTTAGGAACAGTCAACAATGGTTATTAGCATAAAATAGTGATGGAACAAAAGCCATATTACTACCATAATTGCAAAATGTTTGGCCATATTGATAATAAATGCTTTAGACTGCATCTTAAATTAAAAATAAAGCTTTTATGGGCTCTACTTCTGATTCACAAAACCTGAAGGCTCAACTACCTCTTGATCCTAATTTACCCTTTGATGCAACTGAACCCAACCCAGTGCCCGAGCCAGGACCTGAGTCACCTTCCCCATCCTAAGCCCATTTTGTTGTTGTACAGGTGGCTAACCAATCTGAGATAGTGGATATTCTAGCTACAGATTTTTCTAAAACTGTTCCAACCATTCTATCTGAACCTTACCACCATCCCATTCCCATCTCTCCTTTTACCTCTCCCCCTCTACCCTTTGTATTGGAATCTTATGCTGAACACACACATTCAGTTCCCCTTGAACTCAACCAATCTATCATTCTCAACCGTCCTCCCTTACTGTTGGACAATCCTATTTTTTCCAGTGACATGGAACATTTGAACTCACTAACATCCACCTTTGTTGAACCCACAAGTTCTGCTCCTTCTAAACTCCATCAACCCATCAATCCCCCGATCCTTCCCCTTTACTTTTAGCAACTCCACATACTTTGCCTTGTGAAGTGGAACACATCACCCTTACCTTCACTTCTAACAACGCTGCCCCTACGCAACTTACTATTTTTGCCCATCTATTCCTGTTGATTTTGAGGATGGTTTAGTTCAAAAGTTGAATTTGGATCTTGAAGAGGAGTGACAGCTCCATCAATCTAGAATAAAAAGTTAATCAAGGAATTAAATAATTCTATCAATGTAAAGTCCACAGCTGGTGTTTCTCAGAACAACCCCCTGAATTCCCTCTACAGACCTAAAAGGAGGGGAAAGCAGACAAATGATTAATATGTTATGCTAGAATGTTAGGGGGCTAGCAAATCCTAAGTTCCTTGGAAGATTAATCCACTTGAATAGGATGTATAAATTATGCTGCATTGTTATTTTAGAACCTATGATTCTAAAATACTAGGATAGAATTATTAATAAGTTCCCTGGTTTTCAATTTACTGTAAACTGCAACAAAAAAATTTGGCTTCTGTCCAGGCAAGAAGTCACTTGGCAAGTTCTTCAGGATCATCCTCAATTTCTCCATGTCTCTTTACAACTGTCAGGTCATTCAGCTAATGCCACTTTTGTTTATGCCTCAATCTACTCTAATGGAAGACAAGAACTTTGGACTGAATTTTTCAACCTCAGCCTCAGATCCAACTCTAAATGGCTAGTTTGTGGGGATTTCAATAGTGTGGCTTCTCCTTGTGAAAAGTCTGGAGGTAGACCTCCTGCTATTAACAAAATGAATTTGTTCAATGATAGTATAACTCTTGCCAAACTACATGATTTGGGTTTCTATGGACCTAAAATTACTTAGAGGAGGGGCAATATCTGGGAAAAATTAGATAGAGCTTTGGCTAATGATACCTGGCTTAATGACTTTCTTCATACTATCATTACCCATCTACCTATTTTTGGCTCTGATCAAAGACCTCTTTTTCTGAGTATCCAGAGCTCTCTACCTCTAACTAAAACTCCATTTAGATACTGTTGGTCTCACTTTTGGTTGAGGTTTAGTTTTTTCCTCTTTAGTAGCCTGAGGTCTAGCCATAGGACTTTTCTATTGACTATTCTTAGAAAACTAGACAAGGAACCCTCACCATTAGAAATTCCAAACTCTCTTCTTTACTCAACTTAAAGTTTCACATATTGGTCCTAACCTCTAGCACTTAGTAGGTGGGGTCACTATGGGGGAACTCAAGATGAGTCAACCTTAGGACTGCTGGACCTTAGGGTTGACCCTATGCTGAACACACACATTCAGTTCCCCTTGAACTCAACCAATCTATCATTCTCAACCGT